AATCCCACTATTTGTTGGTAAAGAGTAGCCCAACAGTTGGCGGTGGGTGGTGATGACTAGCTGCCTTCCCTCCTAGTCTTACACTGCTAAATTAGGGACGGCTAGCGCAGATAGCCTTCGTGTAGCTTTCCGCGAAATTAAATAACAAAATTTAAAAAAATTTCTATTTTCAACATTTTTTCATTTAGTTTCATAATTTTCCCTAAAACCTACGTCAAGTCAAACATAAAGTTAACTTTGTACTTTGTTACATTAAAATGTCGATATCTTCATTCAAATACCTAATAATCATTACATTATTGAAATACAAACTACCATATTAATCAGCAGCTGCTGTTAATCTAGGAAAACATGTTACAAACTTCAAAATAAAGCGTTCAGTTTCTCAGTGAATAAATAAATGTAAACGTACAGGGCCTGCAATAATAAGCTTTATCTAACGGTGCTAACAGAATATTTTCTGTGTACCATATATGGATTACGGATCCTACATTTTTAATTTCGAAAATTAAATATAATCTCTACACAGATTGAATCATTTTTGGCAGCCTTAGAAGAATGGTAAAAGTTTATGAATTTAAGCTTTGATTCATCTAAAACTTTTCTGTTTGAGCTAGTAGGTGGCACTACAAACGTTTGGATTACTTTCTTATTTGCTTTCCTGTTGTTTTAATTAGAATTTAATTTTTATTACGTAGAGTTAGATATAAGAAAAAAACAATTTCCTCATAGTTTCTTTGAGACGAACAATTTCTTTATGGTATTTTGCTTGGAAACGAGAAGTTTTCTGATCATGTTACTTGCAAGTCCACACTTTTCTTAGGATATTACTTGGAGACGAGTATTCTACTTATGGTGTTACTTGCAGAAGAACAACCTTATTATGGTATTATTTAGAAACGAGCAGTTTTATGACTAGCCGTTTTCAGACCCTGAAAATAGAACAAAGCGTAAAAGTTCGTACTAATAAGGTTTTTCGCGAACAAGAGTCCTCCATTAGGTCCTCTTCAAGATCCTGATGGGTGCCCACCTACTGTGGTAGAGCATTTTCTTCTTAAACGCAAATAGATCTTGTGTACTAGAGCGAAGACGCCTGTTTGATTTATTTAGGTGTCTTCTCGAAGGTTCGACTAGGGAGACTAAATACAATCACAAAGTCACAGCGAAAAAGCGAATTTAGCGGGTATATTACATTGCTTGCAGTGGCGTCTGATGCTAAAATGAGTATAATACTCGCCTTTGTTAATGCTTCAATATGACAGAAACATCACCTAGTTGCTTCTTTAAATGTCAGAAGACTTGCCATATATCACTGGTGGAAAAACAAGGATAAGGAAAATCATTGTATGTAGCATTGAGCGGAAATACATCCTTCACTTAGATCTGCAAGAATAATCAGGAAAAGATTTCAAACTGACAACAAAATTTCACAATATATGCGTCTCATATTACATGTAACGTACTAGATGTTAGGGAGCCACCAACTTTAAAAAGACAATATCAGTACTCGGCCTCTGATTTTATCGTGAACTGTCTCATATGTGGCGATAAGTGCTTGCCAGAAGACCATAATAATCCAAACATATGGAGAACTGTGGAGGTAAAGCAGTATATACTACTTGGCATCAATATTTAAAGCGAGACCTTGGTGACAGCCTTCTCTCCTGCTAACAGGTTCCTCATAAGTAGTATCTTTTTTTTAAACTCCTCGCTCATTGATTCCACAAACACTCCATTCCAACTATTTCTGGCTGGTGAAGTAATTAATGAAACCTTGGGCATGGTTTTAGACCAATCACATGCTCCTTTCTTACAGTTGGGAGAATTTTACAGGTAATTCTTTTTAACTTTAAAAATATTTATTCTACCAAAACTAAAATCTCCTTAACTTGAAAACTCCAGATCTCCAAACCAAGACAACCAAGGATCACTAATAGGCCAATCAACCATTTCCACGGACACATGGACACTGCTGTTTTATAAGTATAAAGATTATATTATCTTAACAAGTGTTTACTTATTTATCTATTGTTAAGTACAAAAATACTTAATCGGCTATCTGTGCTGTGCCGACCACGGGTATTGAAACACATTTTTTAGCATTATAAGCCTACAGACTTATAGCTGAGCTACTTGGGACGCGTTCACTAATATCATACTTGGACGCCAACACTTCATACTATGTAATTTACTTGGATACATCTAAATAAATATTATACACATTAAAATTCATATTACTCCTTACAGCGCTTCTAGAAAGTACCGTTTAATGTTTCTATCCTGTTATATTTGTACCAAAAGCACAGTGTTTTAATACAAACCCATTTACGACCAATTTGAAAGCAAACTTTTACAGCTAAAAAAAGTTCAACTCTTCACTTGTCAGAATCGTGATCAAGAACATGAAGGAGAAGCCATTACACCAAACAACCTCTATATATACGTGCTTTTACGCTTTTCTTAGTCGATAACACAACTATATGATGTTGTAGGTTCGTGGGTAAGTACAATAAGATCTGGGTTTGGTAAACATCATTATTTGGTTATTTTACTCGCCTATTACATAACAACATACGTCTTATGTTCTAAAAACATAGTCTTACGTCATGTTTTTCTTACATTTATTACTACATACATTTTTATTGAATTAAGCCTGCCTCTTACATGAAATACTACTCAAGTCAACGTGAAAATCAAAAACTGAATGATAAACCTCCGACTTAGCGATGTGTGAAAACTACACGTTTTTCGTGAGTACCAACGAGTGACTTGTTAATTTTGAAATTAATGTTCTCGCAATTTCGTACAGATAATATACACTATACAATGAAATTTCAAACTTTCATCTATTGTTGATCATCACGTGTCATTTTGTTCATCTTACGACACCAGCGACGACAAGGAGGGGTGGAAACACAGAGAACACGTGTTTAGGCCTACCGGTGCAGCGCGAGAACTGTTGACACACGTGCCGTTTTCATGGTACAAAATCGGAACCCGAACAATTCTTTGAGCAGTTGTGGCGGCCCGTGCGATATTGGTGGCATCCAACTCTGCAGCCACCTGCCGCTTCCACTTGTTCCGGCGATTCTGAAACCAAATCTTCACCTGCGTCTCCGTGAGATGAAGACCTGCCGCTAGACCTGCCCTCTCAGAACTGGAAAGATACCTCTTCAAATCAAATGTCGATTCCAGCTGGAACACCTGGCTTCGTGTGAACACCGTCCTTGTTTTCTTCTTTCTTCGGCTTTTCTCATACTGCGACCCGCTGCTTACGGCCATCTCGTCAACTTCCTCCTCCCGACTGCCAGCGTCTGCTGTGCGTAGAAGCGCGGACCGTTTCGACTGTAAATTGGTCGAAACTTCGGGAACCATAAATTCGTTAGTTGTGTTGAGTAGATGTGACGAATTAGTGATAGACTGGTTGTCTCTCTTTCCTAAAGACAAAAAAGATTTATGTCCTGATTAGAGAGACAGAACACAACTACTTACATTAAAATCAAATCAGCTTAGCTTCACTCGTATTCCAGGTATTATTCCAAATCTTTCAAATATAGATTTGGTTTACAGCCTTCCTGGTGTCAACAGTGTAAACTTAAAAACAAAAAGCAGACATTTTTATCAAGAAACTCTCATACCTTGGATAAAATAAAGCCAATGGAAGTTTATACTACTATTGTTTACACACAACTCAAAGCTAGTGGAAATTTATACTGCTATTGTTCACACACAACTCAAAGCTAATGGAAATTTACATTAGTATTTTCACACACAATCCAAAACCAGTGGAAGTTTATACTAGTATTGTTCACATACAACTCAAAGATAGTGGAAGTTTACGCTAGTATTGTTCACATACAACTCAAAGCCAGTGGAAGTTTACACTAGTATTGTTTACATACAACTCAAAGCCAGTGGAAGTTTATACTACTATTGCTTACACACAACTCAATTACCATGAACAAAGAAGTTTAATACAAGTATTGTGTCAAGATACATAAAACAAGTTGACCTTACATGTTTCAGACGGCTAAACATCATCAGAAGTGTAAAATTCAAATTACAGTTCAAGAACAATTCTAAACACTTTGCAATTTTTATTATATAGTATATGTATAATAGAGTAAAATTAAATGACAGGAGAAAAAAGGAATGGTATAACTTATCGCTTCATAATACATAAACATGTAAGCCCTATCTAAACCACTACATTACATAAACCTTTGTGTGTCTCTTATAATGGGCGAGCAGCTCGACATCCACCCTTAGCAACCCAGGGAATTACACAGAGGGTGAGTCAGATATTAATATTTAGACCCAGTGTCACCTCCCGGAACCAGTGTATCTTCCCCGTGCACTGAACGTGCGCTGAACTCCAATAGTGTACAAATGAGATTAATAAGTTCGACATTAGTCTAACGCTCTTTAATTTTTACCTTTAAATCTTTAGCAAACTGATTCTCGTGAGTACCACATCTATCAAAAACAGTTAATGTGCCTTTGAATGACATTAAAACATCTTTAATAACATCTTAAATAAACAGCTTTTATTTGAACATATTTTGAAAAACTTCACTCACTTTTGTAATAACACCGAATGCACATGGTAAATACAATTAATAGTTTTTGTAATAACACCAAATGTACATGGTAAATACAATTAATATTTTTGTAATAACACCAAATGTACATGGTAAATACAATTAATAGTTTTGTAATAACACCAAATTTACATGATAAATACAATTAATAGTTTTGTAATAACACCAAATGTACATGGTAAATACAATTAATAGTTCTGTAGTGACACCGAATGTACATGGTAAATACAATTAATAGTTCTGTAGTGACACTAGATATACATGGTAAATATAATTAATAGTTCTGTAGTGACACCAAATGTACATGGTAAATACAATTAATAGTTTTTGTAATAACACCAAATGCACATGGTAAATACAATTAATAGTTTTGTAATAACACCAAATGTACATGATAAATACAATTAATAGTTTGTAATAACACCAAATGTACATGGTAAATACAATTAATAGTTCTGTAGTGACACCGAATATACATGGTAATATACATAGTTTGTGAGATATTACATAACAGAAGTAACAAACCGCAATTTTCTATACATTTTTCTGGCCCTACAAGAGGGACTTGATCAGAATTCTTATCCGTTTTATAGTGACACAAAATACAAATCAATGAATAACACTTCACAAGTTCAAAGCGTTATATACCGTAATAAAAATTACGTTACTACTGTATATTTTCTGCTTTGTAACTTCAATCCCTTTGACATTCGACATACATGAGCTTTAACAGTAACTTTAAAAAGAATGATAATATATCTGATTGTTTGTGGAAACACAGGACGCCAAGAACGTAAAGGGACGTGAAAACAGGATAAGTTGTGCCAAAGGTCTCCAGAAAATCTCCCTCAAGGATCCACCTCGACTATATAAATCACATAGTCTGATTAGTTTTTTCAGAGAGGATAAGCCACGAAGGAAGTTTTATATACAATGACTTTTCCCGAGTTTTTTATTCTTCAAGATATCTGATTAAGTTCTGCTACCATGGTTACTGAAATTCTCATCCTGTATCCTGTTATTATGCTATATTGTAACAAAATATAACCCTAAATCTTGTTGTTAATGTGTCTAAATAAATTAACGCCTTGAATCTCGTTGTTAGGGTATCTTAATAAAATAACACCTTGAATCTTCTTGTTAAGGTATCTTAATAGACAATACCTTGAATCCCGATGTCATTGTACCTTAGTAAAATAACAGTTTGAATTCTGATGTCACGGTATCTTAATAAAATAACATCTAGAATGCTGATATCATGGTATATTAACAAATAACACTTTGTTCAATGATGTCATGGAATAATAGCGAAATAACACCATGAATCCTGAAGTCATGGTAGCTTAACAAAATACCACTTTGAATTCTGATGTAATGAGATAATAAGAAAATGACACCTTGAATCTTCATGTGATGGTATGCTAAAAAGATAACACCTTGAATCTTGATGTTATGGTATCTTAACAAAGTAACACCTTGAACATTGATATCATTGTAGCTTAACAAAATAAAACTTTTAATTCTGGTGTCATATTATCTTAACAAAATAACACTTTGAACACTTATGTCATGCTAACTTAACAAGATACTACATTGAATCTTGATGTCACGGGATCATAACAGTTTAACTTCTGATGTCATGAAATCATAACACCATGAACCGTGATGTCATGGTATTTTAAAAAAATATCACGCTGAATCTACTTGTTTTAGTATAATAACAAAACAATACATTGAATCCCTATGTTATGGAATCATAGTACCTTCAATACTGATGTCATGGAATCATAACACTTTGAACAGTGATGTCATGATATTTTAAGAAATATCACACTGAATCTAGTTGTTTTAGTATCATAACAATGGTCCTTGTTTCGTTACCGAAAACATTTACCCTTCGCACTATGGAACTGTAGGTGCATTGTAAGAGTTAAGATCGAAGTCCCTCTCTTCTGTTAAAGTAGCCTTAAAGTTGGATGTGGGTGCTGTTGACTATCTGCCTTCAATCAGTTCAAAATTAGTCCTTTGTGTAGCTTTGCGCGAACAATCTGAAAAATATTAAACCTGACCCTTTTTTGTCAAGCTACCATAACAACATATCACTCTGAGACCACATATACAATTTGTATAATGAGACAGATTCTATGGACATCATGAACAATTTATTAGAACAGCAAATAATTTTATCAGACACCTGTAGAAAAAGGTGTAATTCAATATTTCACCTATCACAACAAAACCTTACAAAAACATACATAATGACAAAAAATAACATCATATTAGTATAAATAGCTTCTGTAACCTTATATTAGTTCATATTAAGCATACAGTACTTGGTTGGTCCCCCTTGTACTCTAATAACCTCCGCAAGGTGACGTGACATGCTGTCGATGAGGTTATTGATGTAATCCACTGTGATTTCATTCCAATTTGTCAATAGAACACTAACTTTCGTTGTCATTAGCGATATTTTCTGAATCCTGTTCATAATATTCTAATGATATTTCTTCCTAAATCCTAAGCTAAGGTTTCCTAGCAAAATATCACCTGGATTCCTGGTTTCATGGTATCTAAACAAAATATCATTCTTAACCCAACTACCACACTACCTTGACAAAATATCACCCGTAATCTCTTTGTCAAGACAAACTACAAAATATCACCCCGATCCCACTTTTATAGTATCCTAACAAAATATCCTTTTGAACCTGTCCTAAAAACATATTTAACCTGATTTTTTCTATGATCGCTAACTGATAAAATATCAAGTATTAGTATTCAGCGGTATTACACTTCGAATAGCGAGCCCACGATCCATAGGCCCGACACGTTAATCAAGATGCAACGTCCGACCTACAATGACAATGAAAAAATTATATTTACAGGTACGATAAAAAATTATAAATGTTATCCAAACGTACATTTATTGTACTGAATAAAAACAAGCATATATATATGTGTGTGTGTGTGTGTTATATGTACATGTTTACATACGTAGTAAGGTTAATTCAAATAAAGTAATAATTATTTAAAATAACATTATATTATTAATAGTTATCTTTAAATGTGATTTGTAAATGACTTAAATAAGATTGGTAATAATTTTAATTCCATTGATTAATGTTATAACATGACATAAATGTTTTTGGGACAACATTCGACCTGCTGGTCCATGCCGGTTGTCCCATTCTCTGACCTAAGCTAAAACTATTAATAAATATTTTTGTTAAATCTTAAAGCTAGCCCTTATCAAAAATATTAAAATCGAAGTACAGTATTTTTTCATATGTTAAGTTAGTTGGTAGCGCTTTCGCAGCTTACAATGCTCTTCAGCCAGTCTAATTAAATATAATATATATATATATACATATATAACTTTTTAACGAAATCAAAATGCTTATACAATAAATACATTCCAGTAAGCCCCCCAGTAGGCACAGCGGTATGTCTGCGGACTTACAACGCTAGAATCCGGGTTTCGATA